AAACCTCCTCGACTCGCGGCGTTTTGGCTACTAATTTATTGACACAGGAAAGAGAAAAAGAAACACAAATTTAACTTGATTTATTTTGAAAGGAAGTGAAAGACCTTTTGGGCACTGAACCCTTGTCTCCTCGTTCATCATGCTGTCAACTCAGTGGTGAAGCAATTTGAGGCCAAGAATATCCCCAATTAAAATATCCTGTAATTCTAATTTATTTCCCCAATCACAGATGCTTGTTTCCGTAACTTGAATTTTCTTGCTGGTACAGTACCTTCAAATTTGACTTGAAAGAGTTACATTTTACTTTTCGGGATTCTCACATCAGATTGGGTTGAACGGCGCTTTTTCGATGGGAATATTCGTACCATTACTGTTAGAGGCACAGTTGAAATGCGAACTGTTTCTTATGTAGAGCTGGGAATTTGAGTAAGGGTTACGAAATTGAAATTATCATGAAGTTTGACTTTGGAAAGTGTGGAATGATGTGAAAGCTGTGTTGAGAATGAACCAAACAGAATTTTGTAACTATACAGTTCGACGATATTTTAGTGCGAGGATGTGTTGAAATATATTTACTGAGCAATACTTTTCCTATTCCGAGTTATACAGTGTCTACTTCATATAGCTGATATTTTTGAGAAGTTTTGCGCGAACGATGCCAAACTTCGAAGGGGATAAAATCCAGGAAACCCCTGCGTTATTTTATTACGATTGCTGCATGGAATCGTAACTCAGGAGCCTAAACAACAGCAATTTTGGAAGTTTAATATTGAGCTAGGTCATGGGTCAACGTGCTCTTTTGAGGACTCGAGGCATAACGCAAGTTGACCTGAACTTTCTAAGATCTGCTGATTTTCTTCGTGGTGAACAGTTGGGAGCTTGTTTAGAGGTCGGTCGATACTCCTTGCTCTTTTCAAGTACTGTGTGCAATCAACCAAACCGATATGCGATTTTTTCTTCTTCTCGTACTTGCTCTTTTGGTTTATGCTAAGTTAGGTTGGACATTTACTCCGTTGAGGCATTATTAAATTATGACCGCAGGAAGCTGAGGGAATGAGGCTAATTAGAATTTATTTGTTGAGGCAGAATACCAGAATTGGTCTCGTTCGGTGAGATTTCAACACTATTGAATTACTGCGAGAATATTTTTTTCTTTTGAAGTGCGTTTTGTGGCAGTCGCCTTTTGTGATATTCTTGGCACTTTCTTTGCTTGATCGTTGCCGCTATCTGGGTTTTTCGTGCGTCTTCGTTTTCGAATGTAAAGGGGTCACTAAAATTTTGAAAAGGTTGTCGACCTTCCTTGGTACACGGCAGTCGCGTCGTGGGTTGAATCGTGAACCGTTTGGAGCCTCGAATGCCAGCTTCGGGGCATTTTCTAACGGAGTTGAATTCGTAGTCTTCGAGGTAGATCGAAATTATTCCACCATCCCAGGTCGAAGAGTTCCAGATTGAAGAAAGAAAAAAAAAGAAGCCGTTTGAAGTGACAAGAGTTTCAGGAATTTCTCTGCAGTATTTATTTCTTTTAAAACATAGCGGGTACTTGGTTGTCTCGGTTAGCGTACTCCAGATTTTTTCCTCTGGTCGAGGGAAAACCTGTCAGTCAGTCATTTCGTGAGCTGAACAAGGTCCGGCCTCATTGTTTGAGGCCGGCGGTCAAACGAGAGGCGCCTTTGATTGCCGCCTCGGTACCACAGTCCTCGTCGGTGGGAGATGTCCAGATGAAGCGTTGCCTCTTTTTTCGGACTGACCGGCAGTGGGTATTGAGAAAAAAAGAGGGAGATGCTTGATCCCGACTCTTGAACCGGGTCGTCGTTTTCATTATGTTGGTTTAAGCGATGTTTTTAGTCTAGGGTTGATAATTCGTGGAGGCCGCTGTCGCATGGAAATTGTTATCTCTTCACCCCTTCTACTTTTTTTTTCCTAGCATTTCTTGCAGTGAACCGAACGTGTTTTTTGTTTTTTTTGGTCGAAGGGGGTTTGTTTCTTGGAGGACATGGAGCCTGTTTGAATATACTGACGGTGTGTGGACTTGTAATACGGTAAATTCAAGCTGCGATCCCCGACTGTTTCCTGGTCTGGGGTCAGGTGCGAGCTATCGTTCCCGGACTAACGTGCGTCGATTAGAGTAGACGGATTCTTCCTTCCTTTGATGGAATTTCTGAATGAGAAAGTACCGTATTTGAAGACGATTATAAAAAAAAAAGGAATTTGCTTCTATTGAAAGCAGGAAAGCGTTCAAGCGAACCGTTGGAATTGAGCGGAAATGGAAGAATAACTTACATCGGTTTGTGTGTCATTTCAGATATAGCGAAGAAAATCGTCGAGAAAGTAAAGTTCGGATATGAGTTCTTATCCGTAGTTGTTCATTTTTTTTCGAGGCTCGTTTTTATGCTGCTTTCCAGGTTAAAGATGGAATTGTAATTTAACGCTCGATCTGCGGTATACAATATTGGGTGGAATTCCGCGTTATATTACCTCTCGTTTTTTTTTTTCAAGTATAATTTTGAAGTTCACATGCGCGTTATTTTCGGAAATATGATTTGTTGCTTCCGGTTGTGAGACTTCAATTTTCATTTCTTTTTTCTTTGTCCTAATTTCACTTTTGGCCCCGTCAGTTGATGGCGGGCTCGTATTTCATCCAGTGCCACCTTTCTGGAACGCGATGCTGGGCGTCTCTGGAAATTCCAGATCCGCGATTAACGAGTTCCCCGGTGTAAATGTTTTTTGTTTTGGTTTTTTTTTTTTTGAAAAGCAAAGGAAAGAGGGAGAAGCGACTGCTGGGCGGAATGCGTAACGCGTAGGACTCTTTATTAAACGTATTAATCTGCTACTGCCTAACGGGGCTGGGTTCACTTTTTTGTTGTTGTTCGTATTTCAAGTTTGTAGATTTGTTATTGTTGGTTGGCGCGACGGCGGGGCGGAGACCGTCGAGGATGACGTGTGCGTGCTTGTCGGTCACGGTACCGAAGAGCAGACAGGGTTGTCGGGTCATGCGGGTGCAAGTGATGGAACGCAATGCTTAGTGCCTTGTACTCTACTCCGGTGTTCCCCCAACCTGTGAAAAATTTACCGTGCGAGAGTAAACAATAAGCACGCAGAAAATTACTGATCTCGTCTTGACCATAAAAATCGTCAAGAAACACGAATGGCATAGGATTAATACTGTACATAATTATAACTTATCTTCCTCTTCACTTTCTTACCTTGCATCTGCGGTGCAAAATCTGTTTTCAATCGGGAAGTAATTTCAATTCAGGAAGTAATTGAAGCAAACGCAGCAGCATCTTGGCTCATGGGTACATGGTACGAGTTCAAATTTCTCTCATTCCTTTGCGTATTTTTTTTGGAATGGGATGACATTTTTTAATGAACCAACAATAAACTACTGTACCATGAAAAGGGGGAAAAGGTCGATGGGCAAGTAAGCAAGGGGTTAATTCTGTAATTTGAACTGGAGCTAGCTGAAATACAGGGTGTTATCCAAAATCTAAAACTCGAACTGGAAACAATCGAATCGTTCTTGAAAGAAGGGAAGTTGAAAAGTGCTTTCTAATTACAGTATCCCCAAACCGGGATTTTACTCGAAAGAAACGTCAAAATCTAGTACAGTACAGTACGTGTTGTGCACTTGGCGTCGCTGCTTTATTTCTTGTGATAAACCAGTGGAACGCATTTAAAGATAAATATATTACCGTACATTATTATATGCGTTTGTGGAAACATTTTACATTACTTAATTCGTGACTTCGCGTTCCGTTGGTTACTTCGGTAAATAAGCCACGGGCACCATTAATATCACGCCGACTGCACGCATATACAGTACATTAAAAGGAAAAAAAAGTATAGTATTGAAAGCAAGTTCTGTGCCTGCTCGACATAATCCCGTATGAGAGAGGGAGGGGGGTTATACAACTTTTGAGATTGTCATCGTTATCTAATCAAATGAATGAAGCCGTGAGCTGGGTCAATTTTAATTTAAATACTGTACAGTACTGTACTGCACTGTGATAGGTCAGGAAGAATGGGTAGAATAAGTACGTGAGTAGGCTTAATAGGCTCGATATTGGATGATTATGGTGACTGATCCAGAAAATATTGTTCAGTACTCTGAAGTTTTATGCATCGATGCCTGGACAATTTAATCGACTTTTTCGAGTTAGACTTCGAAAAACCTGACGACTATACAAGAAATTTCAGTTCTTATCTTCACGTTTCAAAAGCTTTGCCGTGGCGACGAATATAATTTTTTTTGCTGCTGACGATATTACCGTGATACGAACGAAGCTGAAGAGTGGGGATTGAGCGATTTGTGTTGTGATTGACGACTTGATCGCCTGGTGAATTGACTTGAAGTTTATGTCGCAGACGATGGATGAAGTATCGTCTATAGAAACGACTGAACCACTCTTAATTTTCCCGAATCTACTACGGAAATTAAAGAATACTGTGGACTGCACTGAAATACGGTGTCCTTTCAGTCTGCCAAGAATATTAATTTGAAATTTCTAACAGGCGAAACCTGAGTTTTCCATGTAAATAATCGTTCAAATTAACTTTGATGCCGTATTTAGACTTACAGTTGGAAGAACGAACCATCAAGATCGAAGGAGAAACGTGGAATTCGGATTTTACATGACGGTATTTAATGCATTGGATAATCGTGGACTCGCGGAATCCCATAGTGCAGGGCTTTTCAAAAAAGTTTTTTTTTATTTTATCTTAAAACATCCATGGCATGTCGGAATTGGCGCACCATATTTCCGTATGACCAAGTACCACCTTTGGTTCGAGTGTTTTTTTTAATATTTTTTATTTTTACTACCGATTGAAAATTCCATTACGACTAAGTAGACGTGACGTTTCGTGTTGGCACATGGTCGTCGTGACGAGACTCACCGTCGTCGTGATTAAAATCGGTACCGTATAGTAATCCCCCCTCCCACTATTTGTGGCAACACTGGATTCGCGGGTCTCGGTGTCGTCTGTCGCACGCCTGGGGAATGGGACGGGGGTTGGTTAGTTTGTTAGTTCGTCTCGGAGGTCCGTCGATGTCGGCGCGTGACGCAGGCTCGGGGAGTGTTGCCGAAGAGCGTCACGCACTCTGGAAACGGGATCCAGTCACGTGGCGTGGCACTTGTGTGCTCTTTTCGTCGTCGTCGTCGTGGTTCTTGTCGTACCTCCTATTCCCCCCCCCNAGTATCCCCAAACCGGGATTTTACTCGAAAGAAACGTCAAAATCTAGTACAGTACAGTATGTGTTGTGCACTTGGCGTCGCTGCTTTATTTCTTGTGATAAACCAGTGGAACGCATTTAAAGATACATATTTTACCGTACATTATAATACGTGTGTGTAGAAACGTTTTACATTACTTAATTCGTGACTTCGCGTTCCGTTGGTTACTTCGGGAAATAAGCCACGGGCACCATTAATATCACGCCGACTGCACGCATATACAGTACATTAAAAGGAAAAAAAAGTATAGTATTGAAAGCAAGTTCTGTGCCTGCTCGACATAATCCCGTATGAGAGAGGGAGGGGGGTTATACAACTTTTGAGATTGTCATCGTTATCTAATCAAATGAATGAAGCCGTGAGCTGGGCCAATTTTAATTTAAATACTGTACAGTACTGTACTGCACTGTGATAGGTCAGGAAGAATGGGTAGAATAAGTACGTGAGTAGGCTTAATGGGCTCGATATTGGATGATTATGGTGACTGATCCAGAAAATATTGTTCAGTACTCTGAAGTTTTATGCATCGATGCCTGGACAATATAATCGACTTTTTCAAGTTGGACTTCGAAAAACCTGAGGAATATTTCAGAAATTTCAGTTTTTATCTTCACGTTTCAAAAGCTTTGCCGTGGCGACGAATATAATTTTTTTGCTGACGATTTTCCCGTGATGCGAACAAAGCTGAAGAAGTGGGGATTGAGCGATTTGTGTTGTGACTAACGACTTGATCGCCTGGTGAATTGACTTGAAGTTTATGCCGCAGACGATGGGTGAAGTATCGCCTAGAAACGACTGAACCACTCTTGATTTTCCCGAATCTACTGCGGAAATTAAAGAATACTGTGGACTGCACTGAAATACGTTGTCCTTTTCCTTTGCGTCTGTCAAGAATATTAATTTGAAATTTCGAGCAGGCGAAACCTGAGTGTTCCATTTGAATAATTGTTCAAATTAATTCAATGCCGTATTTTGACTTGAAGTTGGAAGAGTGAACCATCAAGATCGAAGGAGAAACGTGGAATTCGGATTTTACATTACGGTTTTTAATGCATTGGATAATCGTGGACTCGCGTAATCCCATAGTGTAAGGCTTTTCGAAAAAAGTTTTTATTTTAATTTTAAAACATCCATGGCATGTCGGAATTGGCGCAGCATATTTCCGTATGACCAAGTACCACCTTTGGTTCGAGTGTTTTTCTAATATTTTAATTTTTACTACCGATTGAAAATTCCATTACGACTAAGTAGACGTGACGTTTCGTGTTGGCACATGGTCGTCGTGACGAGACTCGCCGTCGTCGTGATTAAAATCGGTACCGTATAGTAATCCCCCTCCCACTATTTGTGGCAACACTGGTTTCGCGGGTCTCGGTGTCGTCTGTCGCACGCCTGGGGAATGGGAGGGGGGTTGGTTAGTTTGTTAGTTCGTTTCCCTCCAGGCAGCTACAGCCGCGCACTGCGTCCGAGCCCCTCACAACGGCTTCTCGCAGTGCGTGAGACCTTTGCCCTAGGTCAGTGCACCGCACCGTGAACACACGAGAAAAGCAGCAGCAGCAGCACGTTCTTGTCGTACCTCCTATTCCCCCCCTATTGCGTTTCGGCTTATTGAAAATTGATTTTTGTCGTGCGGCGACACTGTGGCGGTGTTCCGAGGTTTCGGGGTATTTCATGTTTTTTTTTTATTTGTGGGAGCTGCGATTCGAGATGGAATCACCTCTACACTAACTAACCACTTTGACACACGGCCAACCTCACCCACTCCAACAGCTGGTGCAAGAACACGAGAGCAACTAAACTTCGTACGTCATAGAGCCATAGAAGAAAGCATGCTCACTAGGTGAGACATCCTTCTTTTGTGTGTGTGGGAAAGATTTGACGGAATTGGCAAGGATGAGACCAACTGGAATCTTGATCGGAACCTTGTGACCCGGGAAGGCATTGGCTGTCGGAAAATATATTTCGTTTCAGTTCTGTGGATTTTTGTCCGCGTACACGTAAATTGTTTTAACCATTTCGTTAATATTCTTTTTCATTGTCGGGTATACTCGTGACGATCAAACATTGGTACTGTGTATTCGAATCGTATAAGAACGAATAATCGATTTCAACGAAGCAGGTCTTAGGTCCCTACCCAAGAACCACAATGTTCAATGAGTTATTTCATACGGAATTTTTTTCATTACAAGGTACTGTAGCTATTTCTCTGGTCCCGATGACTTCGTTGTAACGAGGTTTTATTGTACAGTACTGCGATCGATAATGTCTGAAGATTTCCTGTGGCGAAGTCATTGCTAGTACTGCAGTACTAGTACCGAATCGTATCAGTTGGAGCAAGATTTTCAGTGAATTCTTTTGTCGAGGGAAAATGGGCTTGACAAGAGTCTTCGATTGACGACATAAAGTGAGCCTTCTTTGACTTCTAAACAATAGGATTTTTAGAGCAGAACTAATTTAAGTTACTACATTATTTTTCAAGCGAAAGAGACTGCCTACCGGGATTGCTTCGCGATAAAGTTGAGCCGTGGATGTGTGTCGGCGAACATTTGTCGAGTCGGGGATTCCCGTAGTGGGGTAATTGGGTCGCATAAATCAACAGACGTGAATAATCGGTATAATTTGGCCATTTTTACGTGCCTGCGAGCGTGAGAGAGAGCCGGGTTGCGGAAAATGGGCAAAAGGGGGGAGAAAAAGGTCACGTTCCCCGACCTTTGACCGCTCCGGCATAATCTTATCAATCCCGCTGGTCCCTCGGGAGGCTTCCGAAGCATGTCGACCGACTTATCGACGTTTTCTCGGCGGAGTGAAATTTCCGCTCGACATCAGGTGTAATTTTATCGCCAGGAAGAGATGAGAGATGAAGGAAAGAGGAGAATGTGGAAGTGGGGGATAGTCAATTCCCGCGATGGCTTCAGTCTGATTAGGCTCGGGACGAAAAAGCCCCACGACTCTCCAAGGTTTCCTCGTGGCCAGAGGATCTCATGCTGGGTTTTGAGATCGTGAAAGAGGCGTTTCGTCGTCGTCGTTGTTCATGTGATGATTACTATGTTGCCTTGTGGGTCTTGTCCCACTGACGGAAATGGGGGTTCGGGGGTAATTGAGAGTCGGGTTGATTGGAAATGTGGCCCTGGAGGGGGTTGCTGCTGTGGAAGCCCTGGAATGATGTCGCGCAAGCTGTTGCTCTAGTAGGAAGAGAAGAATTGCTCGCCGATTGATTGATTGATTGATTGATTTGATCGATCGAGTCGTGGATAATTATCATGGATGAAATTTGCGACCTGGTTAATCGAGTGTCTTTTGGAGAGGCAGGAGGAAGTGTCTCGTGTTGGAGATTCGTTGGTGAAACGAGGCACAATCGAATCCTGACTTTACTTGACCAGTTACCGAATCCGCGATTAATTGTGGCAATCAAATTGAGTCGCTTCATTTCCTTTCGATCGCTCTATCATCCCGGTGGATGCATGTCCATTTTCTCGGAAATGTCCGTTATTTTACGTCATCGTCGAGTGATTTTTTCAATAGACATTCGATCCTGTGCGTTCTTTGATTCTCGAGACGAAGAGAAGGCACTCCGTCATTAACCCGGGAAATTCGATTTGAACCCGGCATTTTTTCGTGTGTGTCTACGATGGTTTTATTCGGCGATTTAGTGTTCGTGCGTTGAAAATCCGCGAAGGAAGAGATGATGATGTTTAACGTCTTCTTTTTTTTTTCTTCTATTTCTACAGTGTTCGGGGAAGGCTGGCTTCTAGTGTCCAGAGTTTGAACCACTCCATCGGTGATGCGGAAGATCGGCGGCCTCGTTCCTTGTGCATCAGGAACTTCCCCGTCAAAAGTGCCGGTGAGTTTACGATCAAATGGTTCCTTCTCAGGTTATCACCGGACGATCGATCGAACGAACGAGTGCGACAGCAAATTTTCTGCTTTACGGGTTTCCTTATTTTCTTTCCCCATTTTTCCTGGTCCCTTTCGTATTCACCCTAGTACCACGAGCACCTTTTTTTTTCTTTTCAAAATTGACAGGTAAAAAGGGGTACGCGTCATTGACGGGAATAAAATTATGAAAAAAATCTAGATGCATATGTTGGGAGTTCAGGTGCGCATCTCAAGTTGAATTGTAAACTTTTGACAGGAAAGCCGAACCCGAAACAATTGAAATTTTTTTCAATTAAGGTTGATTACATGTTCAAATTTGGATTCTGGTGTCTCTTGTTTTTGAAATGTAGTATTTTTTCTGTAAATCGTTGTGGTACTCAAGTAAATGCTGTATTTTGCAGTTTATTTTTTCTTCTTGCTTTGCAAATTTTGTTTCTGTTGAGGATCTTGATGCCCACCGTTCGGGTATTATCCGAAAGATTCAATGAATTACTTTTCAAAGCTGCTGAATGTCTGGTTCCTCTGTTACGAGCTTAAAGGGTATTTGCAAATCCGTATCGACCTTGGCTTATTTATATCATTCATAGTGCATTGAATTGAATTTTAAAACGGGTGATAATTTTATTTCCTTGAGATTTTTANCTTGATGCCCACCGTTCGGGTATTATCCGAAAGATTCAATGAATTACTTTTCAAAGCTGCTGAATGTCTGGTTCCTCTGTTACGAGCTTAAAGGGTATTTGCAAATCCGTATCGACCTTGGCTTATTTATATCATTCATAGTGCATTGAATTGAATTTTAAAACGGGTGATAATTTTATTTCCTTGAGATTTTTAATGTGCTCGCTGCGTGTCGAACTTGTACGTGCATTACGATACAGTACTGCACTCCGTATAATTTTATCGTCGAAATTAATTCTGATCTCTGCGATTTTTGGACTGGGCATCGTTCAAGCGTTAAGGTCGTTTTAATTGAGAATCTCCTCGGAGGGGTTATGAAGCATGGGTATACGATATGCAAATTACCGCACTTGGTCTCTTGGGGGAAAATGAAAGATACGCTGGATTGTCGTTGGGGATGCGTGGCGCGTCGGGTTTTGCTGAGATATGTGTAAAATTTTGAAGGAATGTCAATGTGGAATATGCGGCTAATTATTACGGATGACGAGAGGGGGGAGGTTATGAGCCATTGTTGACATTCTTCGAATTTCACGCTAGTTTCGAGGTGGACGCCAGTGTTAGTCGCAAGAGATGAGAGAAAACGGTCAAGAGATAATTTGTATTGAGTGGGCATAATCGACGAGGCTTTTGGGGAGAATTGCAGTAAATTCACAATAAACTCATAGGCACTTGGGAACAATTTTTATTCATTAAAATCTTGTTACAAAAAACTTTTGCCGATTCAGAAAAGGTTTATTATACTGTGCTGAATAATTTGTCATATCGAGATTTTCAAAAGCAATGACTGGGAAAATTTTTCAAATACAGTATGACCTGCCGAAAATCAATTAGGTCTTTTTTGGCATCCTCAGATTTTTCGTTATTCATAAGGAAAAAAATGATTAGATTCAATCATGCATTACATCCGGTGCGCAAATCTCATCATTCTGTTAGGATGATGTTGGAAGCATTTTTCATTGATTACAACTTCCATCCGAACTGGAAGAGTCTGTGAGTCACATTTCTGATCAGAAATTTTATTGTGTCTACCTGAGTCATGACATTTCTACCTGGAGAATCTATTAAACATTTCTCAAAAATTTCGTTGAACTGGATTTTAGAAGTTTGTTATGAGTTTGCTTCAACATATACTCCATGGGCTTTCTCTCCTGACTTTCAAAAAAGTGTTATAATATGCTTTAAAAAAATTTGTAACGAGATTTCACTTCACTGTATTGAAATTGCACTGCTGTTCAACAAGTCGCTGCGGAAATAGTTCGCATGAACTGTCGGAAGGAATGCTGACTGGTTGTGAACTTCGGAATGTGCTCCATTGGGATGCTGTTGCAGCTGCCTCGTGAGAGTCGTTTGTTTCTCTCTCTCCCTCTCTCAAAGTGCCACCACATCTTAGCCTTCAGTTGTGTTTTTTTTTCCTGAAAGTTGTGTCTTAGTGTCCTCGATTTTAATTAAGAAGAGATCACAACAAAGCGGAGTCAATTTTGGAGAGAGGATTTTTTTTAACGACCACCTTGCCTTGAGAACGAATCGCGCGACGATATCATTACCCGAACATTCCTCCTCGGGTCCTCTTCGTCTTTCCGTGATGCAGCTCTTCACGATAAATGCTGTACTGTAATTCATTCATTTGGATCCGCTGATTACAATTTTAGACTGGCGACTTTTTTCTTTTGACGTTACTTCGAGATTCAATTGAGTATTTTATTCTGGGTCTTGTTGGAACGTCGTTGACCTACTGCAATGCAATGGCAATCCAACTTGACTCACCGACCCTGATGTGAACACCATTCATAGCTCGTATGAAATTATGACTTCTAATAATAATAACAGGCCGAAACTAATACTGTACTAGGAAGAATTAAAAAAATATCGCCGGTACTGAAATTTTGAAATAGGGTTTGTTGAGCACCCGAGTATTGGGTTCAGACTTCAGAGTCAGTTCTGATCGGTAGAAGTCCCACAAGCAAGTCTGAGTTGAATTGTGAAGAATTTTTTTCTATCGCAATCTCGACTGGAGAAAGTTTATGTTCGATGTTCACCAGTTGATATTCACGTTGTATTCCATGCAATACAGTATTTCCATCATCACCGACGCAGTAACTGTTGATTACATGTGCATTATCTATATTTTAGTACGCTTTGCCGGACATAATCTGTCGGATAATTTTTCAATTGCTGTATTTGAAAAAAAAATATGTTGCTCGTGGACTTTCAATAAATTGTAAAACATTCAAGTATGAAAGTCGAACCTCATTTACTTTCATTGTATTTCAAAACCCGAACTGTCGATCCTCATTATATTTTAATCCAGGTGAGCAAAAATTGTTATACATTAATGGCAAATATTCTTCTGTAAAATTGGCATTCGTCTCCATCTATTCAACGAGACGTACGAAGAAAGCGCATGACTGACAGTAGTATCTACATTAAAAATTAAAACAAAGATCCTAAGGATTACGCCCACTTTCTCCTCGGGTTCGAGGTTTCCCCAGTTGCTCTGGAATAATTTGTGACCCAGCATATACACTAGCAATGCCAGGCTGGTTCGAAGCTGCGGAGAAAGGTCAAATCCAAAAGCGAGTTTTTGTGTTTTACCGTGCTTGAAAGCATTACGGAACAAAAAGCGCGCGTGGGGGCTTGTTAGGACAGCAGTTGACTTTTGTTTGCTTTGCCCCCGCGTAATGGCTGTGGTTCAGTGCACGCATGTCGAGGGCAGTTGGTAACATGACAACAAGGGTGAGTTTAATAAAATCGGTGTGACAGGCGTCGATGGAAAAATAAAATGAATAAGAGAGAGAGAGAGAGACCGGAAATGTTGTCTCGGTGTGCTCGCTTGCCCGGAGCGAGATCGTGATAATCACCCGTCGAGACCGGATGTAAACAGGAAACAAGCTTGCGTTGTCCGCCCATTCCTATCGCCCCTGGACGCAAATGACGTTTTGGCGATTAATCGATCTATTCAGTTGTTGAAAGTACAGTACCGTTCAGTTCAGTGTAGTAGTTTGTTGGGGTGTTGTTTGAATTTCGACTGGACTTTCAGCGTGGTTTTGAAAGCCTTCCCATTGGAGCCCTAATTATCCAAGCTCCTCTGAACAGATGCCGTCACGGGGCATCATCAAGAACAACGGATAATCTTTTCTTATTGCCTACAAACCCCTATTTATACTTTCTTGCATAGGAATCGGTTGATAACGATTTTCTCATCTCGGGTCATGTGGAATTTCGTGCGGGAATCGCTTCCAAGTTCCGATGAACGTGGAAGAAACTTTAAAAAGTACGCTGAGAGAAGATCAGAAAATCGATAAAACATATGCGTGGGGTCTTGAAAGTTCAGAGAATGACTTGATATAATGGTACAAAATCTGGGGCACGGGTTTAGAGTCTCCGCGGTACTTTTAGTTTGAGAAACGTTCGAAATTCTGACCGAGTATGCTGTGCTGATCGATTTTGGGAAATTAAACGAGGATAACTACAGTACAGTATTTGACGTTTCTTCAATGGTTTTTCGCCACTTTTTCGAGGCAGTTTAGATTTACCGTAATTGAAAGGTCGAATAGGGGCCTCTTCGTTTTCGTTCTGAAGTGCATATTCGTTCTCGAAAAGGTCGCGTTCGCTATTTAGGTGGAAAATTAAGATGAAACGAACTCTCGGATGAACAGCTTGACGGACTCCTGTCAATTTTCCAGTTTAGAGCAAAGGCGGAAAATTTTATTCGTTTTCGTCAGCGATATTTTTTTCCATGATAATAAAAGATGACGTACAGTATTTCGTAGTACTTTGCGTACGTATAATACTTTTGTGTCAGCATTCGTGTCGGTATATTTATTTTCTATTTTTCCCGAGTATTTCTTGAGATTCTTGCTTGTCTGCTGCAGCTGCCGGGAAGTTGATTGAAATCTGTCGCTGACAGTTCACTGGTTTCATCCGAACTCTGCGTGTTCCGTGTGCCGAATTTTCGAGTCGACCTAGTTCATGCCTGCTGTCGTGGGTTTCAAATAATAAAAAAAGTGTGTTCGATTGTGATTGACATGCAAACCAACTCTAGTGCGTGTGTCTGTGGTGGTGGTGGTGGCGGCGGGAATGAGACACTGTATTTCAACGTATGTGCGAACTTGGGTAAAGAAAAAAGATGGGTGATGGAACCGCTAGGTACATAATTGAAAACATTGGAAGAAGGAGATCTAATAATTTATATATATTAGGAAATTTCCGAAGCACGGAATTTGAATTTTCGGGATGATCAGATATTAGATTCCATCGCCAGTATTGATATTTGAGGTCGTGTGAAATTCTTATAGAGTGCGGGGATTGGATTTTGATACTGTACTGTGTTGAATGTAATTAATTTAAGGCCGGTCGTGATTCTGTGATGCGTTGAGCCGGAAATTCAGCAAAATGGAATGCTCATGAAACGAAAGTAAAACCTCGTTGCAGAAAAGCCATCGTGTCCAATGAAAATATTGTAGATTCATTATTACGAAAATTCCGTTATAAGCGAACTGAAATGACATCGCAGCTATTGGACAGGGACCTAAAAATTGAATTAGTTGCAATCGTTTATCCGTTATAACGAGATTATACTGTATTATAAGTACAGTGCTCGTGGTTATTCACGGAACGCATATTTTTTCCTTCTTCCGATCTCCCCACGAAAATCGAGAATAGAACTCGAAAATCGCGCTTCACTGGAGAAGTAGTTGCCCTGGTGGCGTTGAATTCGATGATAAGATCGACACCAGGTGTCTTGACGCCAGAAGGACGCATTGCTGAGAGAGACGAAGAGTAAATTTGTGAAAATTAACAATAATGATGAAAACTGTAAATTTTGTCGCGAGGTCTTGTTTATGTCGATTTTTAGTGGTTCATATGCTGCTTATTTTGTGCACAAGACATTAGAGTGTATGTAAAGATTTTCATGATTTAGGCATGTCATCGTGTCCGTGTTTTTTTTTCTCGTACTCGGACTGCGAAGTGCTGTATTTTCACCGTGTGCAGAAGCATTTGCCGTAAATCTTCCTTATCATCTCCTCGAGTTTTTTTTTCTTCTCCTTGCATTTTTGTTTGAATTCTTCGTTTCACTTCCGTATATCTGAGTAGAGCTCATTCGATTCGAATGGGGCTGGAGACGAACGTGGTCGAGGGGAATAAATCCCAATTTGGCGGTTCGTGTCCGTAACGGAATCTGGGAGTTGGGTACGAATCGTGGTGCGGCCCGTGCTTCTGGCGTTTACTGCGTTATTTGTTATGACTGGTGCTTTGGGTTCTTGGACGGGAAATTGATTCGACCCCTGTTCGGGTTTTCCTCTTCTGTTGTTTCATTTCTGTCGTCTTCGTTTTTCCGTCTTCCTCCGTCGTTTTGACGATTATGTGAGGGTTGATCGAATTCCGAGTGGACTGATTTCTCGTTGTGGCGTTTGGAAGTAAACAAACATCTGTGAGTTGTGAGGAAACCAATGTTGGTATACTAATATTCTTTCCCAAGTTTTGAGCACTGTTGATTCATTGGAATTGAAGAGATGGTGAGTTGGTGACTAAATAAAAGCACAATGACGGAAATTAACGAAGGAAAATATGCACATATCGCAAAAAGCAACCTAGTGAAAAAATTTCATTCCTACTGGGCGTTCGCTAATGAAAGAACAATTGTATTTTGCATATGCATAGAGAAGGGTTATATTTTGCATATGTATATTTTATAATGACAGTGGGTTCACATTTTCCTGATTTTGAGAGATGCTTTTCGAATTTTTTCTTGGTCTTTTCTGAAAATTTGAATGAATATCCGCCCGAATTACAATAAAATACAGATGGACTCTCGCTCCACAAAAAATTCAAGGGGCCGGAAAAATTTTATTGTAGAGAGAATTTCGTTGCAGAGAACCCGCCATAGCACGGGTAGAAAACCTGGCATATTGGATAAAAAAATAGTTATACGGAGAATATTGTTGTATGGGGAATCCACCCTCATTGTTTTTTTTTTTCAACGTAAGATTTTCTCGCTTTGGCGCTTAACTTTGCACGGCGGGGAAAAATCGTATTACAGTATTCCGAAGATTCCGTTTCGTTTACACAGTCATGAATATTATCAGTCTTGCCTTACGTCGAAGGAAAAAAACAATGTGTAGCAAGAATGTCTTCTGCGTGGAACCCAATTGACTTTCGTGCAATGACGCCGGGTTCGTGATGAACCGGCACGACTTTTGACCAAGAATCGCCGTGTTCCAGCTGCGCTCTTTGGCTCACTGTAGAAGCAAGAGGGATTTATGGGAAGGAATATGCCTCGAAAGTCATTAGTGTTCTCAGCTGGGGAAGCATTGTTCTTCTCTTTTAATTCCCTTTCTTCTCTCCAGAGCCCAGAAGGATAGGCTCTCTTTCGTGTACAGTACACTACAGTGCAGTATTGAAAAGAGGAGGAGAAGAAGAAGTAGTGGTATTGTATTTCGGTGGAAGAGGAATAGTGTTGCCGGTGATGTTGCTCCAGGGTCGTCGTGGGAGCCGATTTATGTTGAATGTTCATGCCCGGAGAGAGCTTTATTTGTATTGCCCGACTCGAAAGACACTTTGTGCAGATAAGACGGGTTGTTGCTCGCTACAACCGTCGTCGTAATTTCCCCTGGGTGACGTTGATGCTACGAGTCGGGACGAAGAACGAGGAGGAAGAAGAAGAAGAAGAAAACCGGGTCGTGGGTTGGGAAGCAAGGAAAGGAAATGGCCCCCGATCGGGGTGTTTGGGTTTCTGAGAAGGGAGACGAAAAAGGGGAGGAAATAGTTTTCGAGGACATCGTTTCGGATTTGTTGGGTTTGATCGTTCGTTCCTTCGGCCATCGTGTGTATTATGTATTATTGACTGGATTACTGATGGTGGTTTTTCGTTTTGTTTTTACAGATAAAACAGTGGTGGACGGACTTTATCACGAGTACAAAAAGTGGGGGAAGATCGAACTGGTGCGCATGATCCCGGCGCCGAACAGTCCGTCGGAGCGACTCGCTGTCGTCAGCTTCAAAAAGTGAGTAGCCTGCGTGCCAGTGTCGACGCTGCGTCCTGTGTCGACTCTTCTTTTTTTTTTCTCTCAAGTTTCTCAAAAAAATGAGAGAGTGACGAATTGAACGGAAACGGATTTTCTGCCGTATTATTTTGTTGGCCGCTGTGGCTTTCTCTTCCCGATAAGGACGAGCCAAGTGTCGGGCGATGAATGACGACGAAGGTCGAGTCTCTCGTTTGTTGTAACTTTTCACCTGGAAGGTGACAGTTGGAACCAGTATCAAAGTCTAATTGTGCGGATGAGTTTTCGCTGCTGTGTCTTGTCTTCGTGTCGAGGGTACATTATTATGAACAGAAATCTGAATGTATTTCTGCATTAAAATTCCGTTGCAACAATTTTATTTTTTCCTTGGTCCCAGCAGTTTTTTTTTTTTTTTTGCAGGGAAAATTGCCTTATAAGTTATAGCATATTTTCCTCTATAATATCAAGGATAAGAAATGTTTGCCTTGGTTATGTATAAATGGGTCACAAACATTTTTACTAGTTGGCAGAGGATGGGGAAAAGCACCTTGTGCATAATTGAAAAAAATTTAAAATTGTAAATACTCATCTTCTCTTACAGGAAATTTATCTAGTTCCATTTTAGAATTTAAGAATGACTGATTTTTCGATACGAGTATGTTTGCATGGATAATGATCTATTTCAGGAAACATACAGTTGTTAATGAATAAATGTTCTTGTTACGATTTTTTGTGTTGGTTTCAGTTTATGTTTAAAGTAAGATTAGTATATTTTTAGGAAATGAGGTACGGTTCGGAATGGGAGATAACCCGGAAACGCTGCGAGATTCGAAATATTGTACGTTAGATGTATGAATACTGTGCATGCGATGAAATTAAAGGAATTCCCACGCAATCCACTAATTCGATTCATCGAGGATCCGGGAATTCGTTTCGCGCACAGCGTAGCGTCATCAAATGATTTCGCTTTCATTATCCTCTAGCTAGCATTGAATATCGAATTGGATGCGTATGCAGTGCGTTGAAATTATCTTTCGAGGCTAGTGATTCAGAATTTTGAGCATGTCGCACGAAGCTTGTCAGTTTTCGAAAATGTTTCATCTCGAAAATATATGTCAGCTGGATAAATCTTGGATTAGAGGAAAATGAAGCAGCCCATGGATAATGTTCACAGGCAGCTTAGTTCCCTTCTGTAAATCGAAAATTTGGTTCGGTTTAAAAAAAAAATCCTGGAATCCATAAATTTTGATTTTCATTCTGCGTTGAGGGCGGTCCTTCTTTATGATCGGAACTTTCCAGGAAAGGTTGGGGAAGACGATTGATGAAATATTAGTTTGAGAGCTGGACTTGCATGAATTCAGGTTGAAATTGAGCCAAGATTTTTTCTTTCGCGACGTTCAGAGAATTCCGCGTTTTTTTTTTTTTTGTGTGACTAGGATGGAAACTGTTCAATCATTTCGGGAATGGACCGGAAATACTATTTCTTCTAGTGGATGATTCGAATTCGGTGTGTCACCTCGGATAGGTGTGATTCCTTTTCTCCCTCGAAGCCATCGGTTTCGTGTCGGATCGTTGATCCCGATGTGTGTTGCTCTTCAGTTCGTCCCCGATCACATGTATTGAACTTTTCTTCATTCCGGAAACGTCCAGTGAAGCGAACGAAAGCGATCCTCAGCTATCGTCGTTTTCCCCCTGAGTTTTTCCAAAGTGTTCCGAGTAACCACCAACTTTTGATTGCGAGCGGACGAAGCCTTCATCAATTTGTTTTTAGGTTGTTAAACCTCCGCCAGTTGAGTATTGCGAATGATCGTACGGGCCTCTCAATTTTAGCAGACCGGGAGGATCATGCTTAATTTTTTATTTTGTCAATGGTGTTGTCCCGAAGACTTCGGCAAAACTGCTCCAAGGGTGTGAAGTTGCTTATTTTCAAGCTAGAGTCACGCTGGGATCATTTCCATCGAAAATTTTATATTTCGATACCCATTCTCTACAAATATCGTTGTCGTAATTCGAAAAGCTTTCTCTTTTGGTAGCCTTTTTTTCTTCGAATTTTCGCATTTTCATTTGGTAGGTTGGGCTATTTTGAAATTGTTGAAAAAATTAGAGCTGGGGTTTTTTCCAAGAAAAAATTTCTTCTGGGCGCATTCATTTCGCTCGGGGTGAAATAGGATACAATTTTAGTTAATCGATTTCGGAAAATCGAGTCGAGTTTCGTGCAACTGCGATGATCATTTTATCCGCGAGACTTTTGAGGAACTCCCCGTCGTATCATCTCTTTCGTAGAAGAAGTGCTGGTAAATTCGGTTCCTCGAGTTTGTGAGCCTCGTTTCCACTCGAGTGCTTTTTCCGCGGGCTTGATGGAAAAGATAACCCCTGGAGCGAAGGGATCGCACGTCGAGATTTCCGGAATACGCGCGTTTCCCCTCTACGCTTCGTGTTTCTCTCGGCATATCTCTCTTTCTCAATGCGAGACATTTTTGGGGATTTGAAAGAGGAAGGAAACGAGTGAAGAAGAAAAAAAAATTCAGGGGAAAAGAATGAAAGCCCGTGGGATACATTGGGGGAAGATTAATTTTATGCAGGAGATCTTCACGCCTATTCCCCTTCCTTCCGTTCCTCGCGATCTCGTTCGGAGAAGAAAGTAGAGAGCGTCGTTACCTTGAGGCGGAGAATTTAATTCCTTGTCGCTTGAATTTCGTTTTTCCACGTTTTTTTGTTTGTTTTGTTTTGTTTTTTTTTTCGTCCTTTCGTTCTCGAATATTCCTTCGCGAGATTTCATCGGAAACTTTATACGCAGAATGGAAATGGCTTGTTGTAATCTGAGTTTTCGTTGTGACATTTTCGGAAAATGCGGGTTGAATTTTCGGGCAGAGGTTCCTGGGGAAGAAGAAGAGTATTGGAATTGAATCAATGCATACAAATGAGATTATCTGCATTGAGGCTGTTTTCCATCAAGGACGGGAGAGACTTGCTGTAAATTAAAGTCGAATTTTGTATAAATCATTTTCATCATCGTCAAGAATAGTTCGAAATTTACGGTATTCGTTTCATTTGAAAAATGTTTTCATGATCTATGTGAGCCATATCCAGCTTGTAAAGTGCGAAGAAACTGCGATTCTGAACCTGTTACTGTAGGTATTCAGTTTTAATGCCATGTTTTTTTTTTTTTTAACTTGAAGCTTTCCCAATCCAGAGAGAACTGTACCTGTAATAACGTAGAAATTTTGAAACCCCGATTGAACTACCAGTACAGTAGATTTGCTTGAGGGCATGATATTATCGTTAGCCGTTACTCGCTTTGTGGCAAGATGCGCGTGAATCGCTTGCATCCGTTCCAAGAAAAGTGAAACAATGCGGAAAGCGCGGCGTAAAAATCTTATTTTTTTTATCTTTTCGTGATTACGTCACGTTTGCATTGTGGATTCGAAAACGGTACCACAGTAGTTGATTCAGGAGAGGAAAATAAAAATAAACAAATAAAATGAGAAAGAAGCTGGCGAATGGGGGAGCGTCTATAGGATTGTTACGAGTACTTGCAAGGCTGTTTTAGCGGGAGTAACGAGGCCGAAGTTCACGCTGGAATTCATTCCATGCAGTTCGTACGATGTCCAAGGCGGATTTCCAAACGAAACCCGCGGTCTAGTTTTCTTCGCTTCTCCGTTATCATCGCTGTTTCCCCGCGAGATCATTATTTTTTTCTTTCTTTTTCAATCTCCGTCTGCGGTTTTTTTTTTCTTTTTTTTTTACGTCTCGGCATTTTTCGTGAAAGCGTGCTTGACCAGGGGAACCAGTGGGGGGGTTTTTTTTGGGAGGAAAGTGAGAGGCGATGAACGTGTCATTTTGGGGTTCCGGTGAAGTCGATATTTTGCATTGGATACGAGCGGGTTCTACCGTTTCTTTCTTTTTGAATTGAGGAATGCAGCTGAAAGCTTTCTTGCATCGTTAGCGAGGCATTCAGAGACGGATTTTCGAGAAGCATGGAGAAAAAAATGATAAAATAAATATCTCCTCGAGCATTTTGTGTGTGCGTTCTTTTGTTTTCTTCCTCTGGTATGGTTGTAAGATTTGGTGGAATTTTTTGAAAGGCCGTATGTGCCAAGAAAAATCATACTGTATTGAAATCATCTCGTGTGAAGAGGAAACAACACTTGGAAAAATCAACAGTGAAAGTATCCATGATTCCTCTGTTTTCAGTTGAGTTTGTTTTCTGAATATCCTTGCTTCTTTTGGGACTTCTGTCTTGTTTTCTCTGAAAGATTGTGGAGTTTTGGAAGCAAATTAAACGCACAAAAATCTCCATGGGGAATGGTCTGTTCGCCGTGAATGGACTTTTTATTTCTTTTTGCAGGTTACAACGAAATCCGAGGGACTAGAAAGAAACTCGTTACACAGTATAAAGTTTTGTAGACTGAATTGTTCGGAAGTCCACCTGTATTTGCTCTTTTTTTTTTAAACTTCGGATTGATTCAAGATTCCTTTTCAATAATGGTTTGTTCCAATTCATGCTACAGTATTTCTGAATCCATTGCCCTGTTGAAAGAAGTAAATACTGTACCGAGGCTTTTTTCCTTTCTTTTGAATATTTTTCAAAGTTTCTGGCGTTTCCTTGAGGATTTCGCAAAAGATGTGATTTGTGATGCCCCGAGTTTTTTTAATGAACTCGAGGTTTGGGAATGCCTTATGTATCGCGGATCGCGAGTGATTCCACGATAAGGAAACAAACGATGAATTCTTGCGTTATTTTCTTGTTCATGCATATGCGTCCCTCATTTTCGTGCGCTTGAGCACGAATGTCGTTATTGGCATGCCTGCGATACGAGCCGATCGACGGAGCGTTATTTCTCTGGGAACAGGTTTCGGTCGACAGTACAGTACAGTACAGTGCATTAGTTTGTTCGGGAGAATGCGAAAACGACTTCTTTTTTTTGGAATGCGGGATACAGTAGTGCCTTGCCTTGGTGGAGACGGAACTCGAGGCATGTACTGTGTTGTGAGATCCGTGGGCTGGATTCTGGCCGACTTCATGCTTCGATGGGCAGTCAAACTATTTTCCCTCCCGAGTGTCCGATGAAACCCGAGGCTTTTCTGATCAGTACAGTACTTGTAAAAGTTGTGTGACGGAATTTTCGGGTCGATTAGAAACAGTGTACAGTATCATTCACCGGTACGATTTCTGCGCTTGACGAGAAGCTAGAAAGTCGTAGCTGAAAAATATACAGTTAACCCTCGATTTAGTGCCACGAATTTCCCTGGAACAACTCTCCCTAGATTGTGTTTTTAAGGAAAACCCCGATTTAGTGCCACAAAAAAATGTCCTTGTCCTGAATGAAGAATAGGCCAAAATCAGAGAATTTAGGATATCATTTGGTTTTCACCGAGAATCACATGCCCATGCTCGGGATAATTTGTAAAAATTATTTTTCTCAATTCTCGCATACTGTACAATGATTGGTTTTATTTGAATATCCTACGCAGCAAGGAGCAACTCAATGACTGGGATAGTCTCTTTAAACAAATTTGAAAATCACTCCGCCTAATATTGGAATTGTGTGCTTTCATTGAAAGGTTGATATAAAGATGTAAAAGGCAGGTCCACTCTTTTTTTTTTTTTACACAATTTGTGCAAAAATATACTCCGTATTATAACACAAAATTAAAATGCAGTAAAAATAGTTCATATGAGCCTCAAATTATTCATCATTATGTAACCTTGTTTTTTAAAAACAGATTCAATAATGGTCCAGAAATCCTGCAAAAAAAATCGGTATTACTTTTAGTAAAAGCCCTCAAATGAATATTCTTGTGAATTCTGATGAAATATCCCAGATTTAGTGCCACAAAATGTGCCAGGAGGA